GTTTGGCTTCTAGAATGAACCCTATAATCCCCTGCATGCAAGTAATACCTCTGCATATGGATTCCTTAAGATTGGAGAAATGTACAATAACAAGTTGGGTATCTGCTTATTATGCCACAAAGGAGCAATTTGATTTTAAGATCCACATTCTCAAAATAAAATTTTTGGACAATACATTCAGAGGGTGCGTTTCACCCACACCACCTCTATAAAATTTGCCAGAAATGGGAAGATACAGATCTTCAGAGAAACATTTGGAGCGAGTTCAGATTCTGCTGTCTAGTGGCATCATGGCCTTGTTTATGTTACAGATTTTTTTAATACTTCAATTTCATATTATGTTTAAGCTGTTCAAAAGTCTTTACAAATGGCGTGGTAGATAAATGAAAATCATCTGATGCCATTGAGGTAGGTGCTTTATTAATGCTGTGCAGGTTTGGTAGGGAAAGAATCAGCTTTGGTTCAGCCCTGACAAAACAGTGGGTCTGGGGTTTAGAGATCTAGTGTCCAGTGACTTTCTATGGATAACTCTGGAAAGGACCATGCTCCCAAGGTCAGGGTTAATGTGAAATCTGAAGGTTCTAGATTTATAGCATATAAAGAGCAGGAGACAGCTGTCCACGACTACATGTGCACTATAGTTGTGCCTACTCACAGATCAAGAAGCACTACTTATGACCACTCAGACCTTAAGTCACTTCCTAACTGAACTGTAGCAATAGAGTCCTTGGGTCTTGAAGAGCATTTGTAATCTTCAGCTGGCCCAAAACAACAGTTCATGGAGTTGCATTACAATAAGCATCCATAGAATAAACCCCCCCCTCCCAGTGGATGCAATTGACAATGCTGGTTGTACTTTTATCTCAGAATACGTTTTTATTACATTATAAAGTAGTAAAAAATACAAAAGCAAATAAGAGGACAATGAAGGGAAAGGGGAGAGAAAAGTGAGGAGAGGTAGGGAAAGAAAAAGAAACATTGACTTCCGACTGTTGCAGTAGAATAAGGCATTAACAACAAATCACAATTATTTTTTTACCATAATAGTATGAACCAGTCACTTCTACAAGTCTTATCAATCTGTAAAACCTAAAATCAAAGTTTCATTCTCCGCATCAAGCACCAAGTTCAGAAGCTGTTTTCATGTGGAAACAAAAGTATTTATGTTCTTTGAGCAGTCAATATTGCCATGTCAGCCAACTCCATCGGCTTCCACAACCATTCTCCTATAGTAGGAATCCAAGTGTCTTTCCATGTTTGCATGCTGGTCGTACCTTTAAAGGCTTGCATGGCCTGGAGCCAGGATTTTTGCAAGACTGCCTCCTTCCAATAGTTTCTGCCTGTCCCACTAGGATCAGGCTGAGTGGACATGCTCCAGAACCCATCCATGAGGCCATGCCACCTGGGGGGGGGGGGATCTAAGAAATAGCCTTGCTGCTCATGGTATTCTCATGGAGAAGTTTCAAAGGGATATGAAGACCTGGCCTTTCCCCAGACTTGGATAGGGATATTGGGTGAGTTGATAAGTCATTTCATTCATAAATTATATAGTAAATTATTATTTTCTGACAATCTGAAGTCACAGTTGCCAGTTGTTTAGCTGGTGTTGGCCTTCATATGCATCAAGTTTTTTTCCATGAACCTAGGAAGTTGTAATGTATTGTGCAGATCCAAGCAGTGGATTTTTGCAATTGACAGATGGAAATTTTGTCAATGTGCAGATTTTATAATATATTAAGGTCATGTTTGTATTGAAGTGTTAAAACCCTGGAACCACATTGTTCACTGAAAAAGATGTTTTCAAAATGTAAAAAAAAAAATTATTGACAGATTTTATAAGTGCCATCCAAGATTTTTTGGTATGCCTTCTGTATTATTATGGTTCATCGCATAGTTTAGATTGATTTGGCATTTTTATCCACCTATCAAGTAATTCTAAGAACTTAGGATAGGCAGATGTTCTTGCCTATTATTTTTTACAAATAGCTCAAGGCAGCAAACATATCCAACACACTTTCTTCTTCCTGTTTCCTTCAAACCACCCTGTGAGGTGGATTGGGCTAAGAGTGAGTGACTGGCCCAAAGTAACCCAGCTGGCTTTCATGACTAAGGTGGGATTTGAACTCATGGTCTCCCACTTTCTAGCCACAAAACCACTAGACCTTTTCCTCCACTGAGTTTGGACTTCTCTACTCTTACAATATATTCACTTCTAACCTTCATCACTTCTTTGTTCTTGGAAATTGTCAACTTGAAGGGTGGCACATTTGTCCAGTCCAAACTCCACTGCAATGTTTTTGCTGTATATATAAACAGTACTGAGTGGTGATTCTATTATAACTTCTAATTCATTATTTTGATAATGTGATATTCAGAGCCTCCGTCGAGTTTCTTTTAAACTAGATTTGTATATTTTGGTAGATGGGCAGCTGTTATGTCCCACCTTCAAAATCAAATAAGCAACTCCGAAAGCAAAACAAACGAGGAGTTTCAGAAGATAACAGCTGCTATTATTCACAGTCTACAGCACATTAATCCTGGCTAAAATCCACAAGCCTCCGAGCTTTGACTGTTGCTTCTCCACGTAAATTAAACGCTTTGTTCCTGACAAATTTTCAAACTCAGGCGGATCCTTTTATAGTTATTAGGGCAACAGTTAATTTCCCTAATTACTGACTTGCCCGTCTCCTGCGTTCCAGCTGGCCTTGCCTCTTAAAGCGGCGTCTATTCCTGACATCTAACCAACAATTCTCCAAGTTCTCGTCTCCACTTGAAGACTCTCTTAAAACTTCTCTGTCAGCCATTCCCGGCTGATGATCAGATACTGAACCAGAGGAGGTCGAAGGTCCTGACCATTCTACTAAATCAGGTCTGTCCTCTCTTGTCACGTCCATCTCCTCTTCCTGATTATCATTCCAATCACTGAGCCATGCTGGCTCATATTTCTCTGCCATGTCCTCCTCACTTGAGCTCATATCAGCCACAGGAGCTGAATCCAAGTCCGGAGCCACAACAGGCAGCTATATAAATTTGTTAAGCAAAGAAAACATTGTATAAGAAATCATACTAATTATTTCAACTGATGCAGCAGTGACCCTTCTCCACATTCCACTCCCCATGAAGAGATGATAGGAAAATCTAATTTGGTACCCAGTCACTTAGGGAAACTTGGCAACCATTACAGCAGCATGAGCAAAAAAAAAAACCTGTATTACTCCCTTACCTTCCTGCCTGCCCACCTTGACCTTCTTATTAAACATTGGTTGCTGTCTGGAGCAGTGGTTGCCAACCAGTGGGCTGGGGACCAATGGTGGTCCACGAGAAAATTTTGGTGGTCTGCAGAGAAATGTCAATCCCCAAAGCAATTAATCCTGGCTGCACGGGAACACAAGGCTGCACTTGCCCACATGGTCCGCAGGAACACAAGGCTTGTGTCACAATGCAAACAACACGAGGTAGTGAGGGGAATGGGCGGAGGGGGGGAACTTGCCCCATTCACCCCAGGCACCTTGCCTGGCCACCAGGCTGCTTCTTTCTGCTTCTTCTGCTTTTGGCTGCACACAAGCAGCAAAAGTCTTTCTCTCCCACAAACTCCGCCAGAAATGAGTCTTTGGGACCCTGCAAGGCATCCCGCTTCAAGAGGCTGCGCTGGCGCGACAAGTCTCACAAAGACTCATTTCTGGCGGAGTTTGGGGGAGAGAAAGACTTCTGCTTCTGCTGTTTTTCTTGCATGAAGCCATAAGTCTCCCCCCCCCCCCAAGAAGGGAGCTAGAAACGGTATCCTGCAATCCCAAAAAAAGAATGATCGGTAGGAAAATGGAACGGGGAATTTTCCTGCAGACTTTTTGGGGGATTTTCCCAGGGTCTCAGGTCCGCGGGATTTAAAATTATGAGTTTGGTGGACCCTGAGGGCCAAAAGGTTGGCGACCTCTGGTCTGGAGGACCATTTTAAAACTATGTGTAAATAACTGCTTTTAAACTGCTGTTAAAGATGGCTTAAGTCCTTAAGACATCTCTCAGTGCCAAGTGACAAAAATGAAATTACAGATCTAATCAAGTAATTTAACCTTGGTAATGCACCACAGACTGTTTTATCTATACATTCCAACATAGACTAGTTGGCTCTGATACTCACTTCTTTGCCTGCATTTATTGACTGCAAATGTGGTTTCTAAAGATTAGGACTTGCCTTAATAATTACCAAGAATATTCAACTTCATCAACAACTGTCTTTTCCTCTTGACCCTTCTGGGAATGAATCACCTAGCCAGACACTTTGAAAGAATCCTGGAAACCTTGGACAGAAAGTTGAAGGAATTGTGTGCACAATAACTGGGAGATAACTAAGCTAAAATATTTTTGCAAGTGTATATTTTATGTTCTTCGTGAAAATGAAACTGTTCCCAATCTCACAAGTGTAACTGATGATAAAAGTGTTTGAAATGATGTAATGTGAAAAGCAATTCTAAAAAATGGCTAGTCACTTAACAACCATTCAAAGTTGTGATGTGCTTTAAAAAAAGGTCCATGCAGTTACCGCCACCAGTTATAGTTATGCACAACTTTTTACAACAGTCATTAAGCAAATCATGACATCATTAAGTGGTTGAAGTGCAAACCCTGTTTGGACATTTTCTGCTGGAAAGCAGCAAAAAAATATATATCACAAAATGCTATCACGTGGCCACGGGATGCTGCCACTGGTCATAAAATGTAATCACATAACTTGAGGGCTATCTGTACATCTCTTTGACAACTCATGTTACTCATCCAAGGGAAGCCCCATCTTTATCCCAAGCCTTTTTCCTGAAACAATTTCTTCTTTCAAATATATGTCCCCTTTTGCTTTCGCCTGTATTTACTGAGGAAGTTCTATGAATTGACCAGCTGACTGAAACAGAGAGAAGTACTGAATGTGGATAATTAGCCCATTTATCTTGTGACCATATACAGCTTTTCAGTTATTTCTTCAAAAATAAATTGATAGATTGCTATCCATTGATGGCTCACCCGATTAATTCTTTATTTTAACAATGAGTAAATCAAGAAGACAGTATTTATAGGAAACTCAACCTAATTAACTCCAAATAACAAAAAATAGATTAGTTTCACTTTATTCTCATGAGATGTTGTATGAAAGGTTTTGATCCAAGTATTGGGGCAATGAGAAGGAAAGAGAAGACATGAGCCGGCAAGAATTCATGATCAGACCAATCACAAATCCCCCTTCAGGACATGCCTCTGTGCTCTAAATATATGCACATCATTACCAGGGTCATAGAGCACTTCATGCACTGTAAACTGTTCTCTAAGCATCTTCAGGAAATTCTGGTCCCGCTCATAGCGGAGGCGGCATGATAACAGGATTACAGTCTCAAAAGAGCAGAGATAATTCAGTGTCTGAAGAAGGTCTGCAAATGTTTCTTCTAGGTAAACTATGTCTGCACCCAAGATAATATCATATTCTCCTGGAGAAAAGTCTACCAAATCTTGTCCCCAGGTAAGTTCCTTTATTACTGCTCTTGACTGAAGGTTGACAGGTAAATTAGTTTGCACATTTGCTTCAAGTAAGGGCAATGTTGGCTTTCGGTCTGTGATTGTAACTTGAGCACCTAAGAAGAGAAACATGGAAGACTGTAAAGAGAATCCTTATTAGAATAAATCTAGTGAAAAAAACTAATAAAGTTAAGCAATATTCTAGGAAAACTCAAAAATAAGTGTGTGCATCCTTTTTGTTCCATTAATATTAATAAAGCTAAAAGGAAACTATACAATTTGAGATCCCTATTAGACACCAAAATGAATTGTTAGCCTACACCAGCTCCAGTTTCCAGAGTAACTTACCAAGTAACACAGCTACAATTCCAAGGAGGCCTGTCCCAGCTCCTAACTCAATCACCCTGCGTCCCTGCAGATCAATGCCTCCTGTCTCCAGGAAAGTGCACAAGACCACTGCCTAGGTCAGGAGGGGGAAAAAATCTAATTAAGAATACTGATACAAGTCCAGTCAGATAATAGCATTTCTTCTGTCACCCGTATGACAAGCTTGTAAAAATGTTTTAAGCACAAGATGTGATTTTCAGGCCATCAAGTGGAAGTGGCAGCTGAATCTCAGAGCTTTTATTATTATCTTTATTTTGGGGCTTTTAAATGTGCATATCTAGTTTTTATTTTTCAAGAGTGAAAGATAGAAAATTCCCAATTGAAATGAGAACGCAGGCAGAAGTCACCTTCCCAGTGGTAAGAGGAGGGCTAAGGGGATAGTCATCTATTCCTGCGCTTCTGGTGTACAGATAGTCCTTGACTTATGAACATTTATTTATTGGCAGTTCCAAGTCACAAGTGGTGAAAAAAGTGACTTACGGCTGGTCCTCACTTTCCTGCAGCCACATGATCAAAATTTGGGTATTTGACAAATGGTATGTATTTACAGTGGTTGCAGCATCCTGGGACTGACATAATTGCTATTTGTGATCTTCCAAGCAAGCTTCCAACAAAGTTAAAGGGGGAAGTCAGATTCATTTAACGACCAGGATAAAAAAAGGTCATAAATTAGACGCAACTTATTTAATGACTGCATCACTTAGTGATGGAATTCCAGTCCCAATTGCGATCATAAGTCAAGGGCTACCTGTAAGTAAGTGATATACTCTTCTACTGAGGTATGTAAGAAGGACAAATGACCTGATTTCTTTATGACATTTTGACACTATGATTA